ACCAATTGGGAATCAGAGTATACTTGCACTTTCCGAGCCCCACCTGCCATAGCCAACTGCATCCCCTTAATAACCGCCTCATACTCGGCCTCATTGTTCGACACCTTGTACCCAACTTTGACTGCGAACTCCAATTTGTCTCATTTAGGCGAAATTAAAACAATGCCTAAGCCCCCTCCAGCTCTCGACACCGATCCATCAACGAACATTCGCCAAATACCTTCTATCTCTTCTTCTACCTTCGTACCCTCCTGTATGAAATCGGCCAACGCCTGCGCCTTTATCGCTCTCCTCGGCTCGTATGCTATCGTGTACTCACTCAACTCCACAGCCCATTTGACTAGTCGACCCGATACAGAAGGTCGACCTAAAGTTTCTCCCAACGGCATGTTCGTTCTCACCTTCACCTTATGGCCCAAAAAGTACGGCCACAACTTCCTCACCATCACCACCACTGCCAAGGCACACTTCTCGATCTCCGAATATCTCCTTTCTGCCCCTTGCATTACCTTGCTTACGTAATAGATTGGAAATTGTACTGTACCTTCCTCCCTCAGCAAAACCAAGCTTACTGCCATTTCTCCGATCGATATGTATAGCACCAAGTCCTCTCCTGGAATTGGCTTAGCCAACAGAGGCAAATTGGCTAACACCTTTTGCAACTCCTCGAATGCTCTCTGGGCCTCCTCCGTCCACTGGAACCTTGAGCTCTTTCTCAGCGTTCGAAACAAAGGACCACTCTTCTTCGCCACCTTAGATATGAAACGGCTCAATCCCGCAATCCTGCCCGTCAAGATCTGCACCTCCTTCACCTTTGTAGGTGGTTTCATCTCGATCACTGCCCTCACTTTTTCTGGGTTGACCTCGATCCCCCTCTTCGTCACCATATACCCCAAGAACTTTCCCGACTTCACCCCAAAAGAGCACTTAGCAAGGTTCAACTTCATACCATACCTTCTCAAAGTCAAGAACGTTTCCTTCAAGTCATTCACATGATCGGCCTCCACCTTATTCTTCACTAGCATATCATCCACATACACCTCCATATTCCTCCCGAGCTGTTCCTTGAAAATCTTATCGACCAACCGCTGATACGTTGCCCCCGCGTTTTTCAAACCAAAAGGCATCACCACATAACAATAAGTGCCTCTGCTCGTAACAAAGCTCACCCTCTTCCTGTCCTCCCGGGCCAGAGGGATTTGGTGATACCCTTGGGACGCATCCATAAGGCTGAGCAGTCATCCTGCTGTGGAGTCGACCAGTTGGTCGATTCTGGGCAGTGGATACAAATCTTTCGGACACGCCTTATTTAAGTCACGAAAATCAATACACATCCTCCACTTCCCTCCAGACTAAGACACCATCACCGTGTTTGACAACCACTCGGGAAACTGGATCTCCTTAACATGGCCTGCCTTCAACAATTTCTCAACCTCCTGCTCGATCACCTTATCCATCTCCGCGCCATGGTGTCTCCTCTTTTGCTTCACCGGCCTCACCGTTAGGTCAATATTCAAACAATGTTCGATCACCTCCGCTTTTATCCCTGTCAACTCCTCAGCCGTGTACGCGCGAACTTCCTGATCAATCCAATCAATTTCGACCTTATGGGCTCCTCAATCTCTTTTCCTATCCGAAACTTCCTCTCCTCACATCCTTCCACCATCTGGACCTCCTCAATCTCTCCTCCAGGCTGCATCTCTACTCTCTCCTTCCCTTTATCTGCCTTCTCCCTTTCCTCCTTCGACCTCGAACCACCTGGTCGATTTGACATGCCCTCCTTGAGCTTCATCCGCTTTCTCGAAAGCTGTCTATTGTTGCTCACCGTGGTTTGATAACAACTCCTCGAGGTAAGCTGATCTCCTGCGACCTCACCAACGTTTTCTCCCACTGGATATTTGATCGTCATATGGTACGTCGACACGACCACCTGGAATGCGTTCAAACTGGTCCTTCCCATTATGATATTGTATGATGACTCTGCTCCAACGACCACAAACCTCACCATTCTCACCTTCCTCGTTATCCCATGCCCCAAGGCGACAGATAGGCTCACCTCTCCTATCGGCATCACCTCGCCTCCATTAAATCCATACAAGGCCGTGGTCACCGGTTTCAGCTCGAGGTTGAGTTTTTTGTTTATCTGCACAAAACAATAATAAAACATTACATCCACCGAGCTCCCCGTATCAATGAACACCCTCTTTACATTAAAGCCCGCGACCTCCGCTGTTATCACCAACGCGTCATTGTGGGGTAACACCACTCCTTCTGCATCCTCTGCTCAAAAACTTATCTCCGGCATCCGAGCAGTGATCCCCACCTCCTCTCTCTTTCTCTTCATCGCTCGAACATGGCTCTTCCTTGCATTGTTCGAGTCTCCGTCAGTCGGGCCCCCCGAGATCATATAAATCGTCCCTCTCTTCACTGGTCCATGATTCTCCTGCCCTTGATCTTGACTCCCCCGTCTCCTTTTGCCTCCTCGATCATCTCTCCCTCCTCGAGGATCGCCCTCCTCATCATCATCTCGATCACTCCGCTCCACTGAATCCTCCCGACACCTTCCTTTGCCCTTCCCCTTCGCCTTGTCTTCATATACGAACTCCTTAAGATATCCTGCCCTAATAAGGCGCTCAATCTCATCCTTGAGGTGCCTGCACTTCTCCGTTGTATGCCCATAATCCTTATGAAAACGACAATACTTCCCCGACCTAGGTTGCATTGGGCCCTCACACCTCGACTTCGGCCACTTCACGTCCTTATTCTCGATCTTCTTCTCAATAGCCACCAGCACCTCCCCCATCTTCGCATTAAGGGGCGTAAAGTTATGGAACCGCTTCCCTCCAAACACTGGTCGATCTTTCCACCGGTCCTCTCGCCCTCGTTCAACTCTGCCACGCCCCTCTCTCCTGAGCGATCTCCTACCTGGTGACGCCTTTCGAGGTGAGCTCGCCCTGCCTTTCTTCGGCTCCGGCCTGGCCAACTCCTCCAACTTAGCGAACTCCGCCTCTGTCTCTTCCAGGTTAATATACTTCTTACACCTTTTCAGCACATCATCATACGTACGAGCAGGGGTTTTGGCTAAAGATGTTCGACCGGGCCCTGCTCGCAAACTCCGTATCAACCCCCCAGCCTTCACCTCGTCCGAGGTCGTGGGGATCGCCAAACAAGTCTGGTTGTATCGCGCAACATACTTGCGCAACGATTCTTTCTCCCCTTGCCTCATGGCCATCAACGTCAAATAGGTTTTCTCCTGCGCCACCGCACTCGCATACTAGGTCATCAGCTTTTCCGCGAAATCGTCAAAGTCCTTGATCGATCCATGAGGGAGCTGCTGAAACCAATCGAGGGCTCCTCCCCTCAAGGTCGACAAGAATGCCCTGCAGCTAACAGAATCAGAATAACCATGTAACACAGCCAAATTCTCAAACGCCCTTACATGCCTCGACGGGTCAGTGGTCCCGTCGAACATCAAACTCATGTCTCTAAAATTCGCAGGTAGCGGTGCAGCCAATATATCCCTCGAGAACGGATGTCCTCGAGCACGCCTTTAAGGTCGACCATCCATCTTAGCCTGCAACTGCCTCACTTGCTCCGCGAGCCTCTCCACCTCACGATCTCGCGGGGCTCCCTCTCCTCCATAGCTAGACACGTCCTCCTCCACCATCGTTGGTCCAGCAGCCACCCGCGAAAGGCTTTGAGTGACCTGCTGAACCGCTTGTGCTGCCTCGTTCGCCACCATTTGTTGCATCTCCTGCCTGGTCATCACCACCTGCTGACCGGGTCACGGCTCCTCCACTGGCGGTGGTACTGCTCTTTGCACCGCCACTCCCTGCTGCAGCGTCACGGCCAGATCTGGTTGCAGCGGCGTTGGGGTCGCCGCTCCTTGAGCCGTACGAATCTCCTGGGCCCGGCTTGAGCCCACGTCAGCCTCTGGTTGCATCGACGTGACTCCTACGCCTTGAGGAACGGGCACCGAAGTCACCGGTGTACGCAAGGGTCCGGAGAAGCCCGGAGGAGGGCCTTCTCCGAACGGCCTCGTCATCGTCCACGCATCGTCGAACGATGCTTGTTAATCTCTCCTAGGAATTCCGTCCGCCATAGCCACCGAGCTTTGGAAATCTCAGCACACCACTTTTCGAACGAAAGTCCCACAGACGGTGCCAAATGGTAACGCAAAACACTCTGACCGGTTTGAAATCAGCTTGTCTCCTTCCTCCTCGCCGGTAGAACGCCGCGTTCCTGCACAGAACTCTCACACCGGAGGGGTTTTCCGATAAAGAGCCTCCGATGCTTAAGTCAGTATGTGTTTGTTCAGTTTTCCAAAGTAAAGATAAATCGTAAGTCACAAGAAAAGACCCACTCCCATATATATAGGAGTGAGATACCTGCCCTAAAAACTGCCCAGCTTTGGTGAGCTGTCCTGCCCGTACTGCCCGTCCGTACCCACATAGTGTGTGTGTGTCAGAGATGTCAGGGGTGGCTTTCGCCACTATCACCCTGCACCAATATATTCTCGCCACGTGTCCATCTAAGCTGGGGGAGATTATTCCTCTGCGCAGGCCGTTGGGATCTTCCAACGTCATCCACGCGCCTTCTCGCGTTCACGCCACGCTCTAGATTGCTCTTCACCTGTTGAGTGCTCGATCTCCTCCCTTCTGGTCGATCCTCGACCAGTTCTGCTATTCTGCTCGATCTCCTCCCTTCTGGTCGATCCTCGACTAGTTCTGCTATTCTGCTCGATCTCCTCCCTTCTGGTCGATCCTCGACCAGTTCTGCTATTCTGCTCGATCTCTTTCTTTTTGGTCGATCATCCTTCTCTCAATCCGGTTTTCTCCACTTCGAGGTTGCTCGACCGATGATGCAAACCGGTCTATTCTTCAGCTATATAATATCCCATATCAGGTGTAATATATGTTTGTTAATTTTTCATTGTAGCTGGAAAATGCCATGGAGGTAGAAGCAAATTTTCAAAAAAAGCAAATCACCTGTTTTGTGAGACACTACATTTCTGAATATCAAGACAAAAATGAATCAAATTTTTCTGTTGTGGTTGTCTATGTGAACGAGGATAATATTGAAAATATGCTGCCTTTGGATGAAACAAACACATCTGTTCACTCACAGAGACTCGGCAAACAGGTTCAAAAAACACTCATATACTCGTTAAGTTTTTTAATATATATATATATATATATATATATATATATATATATATATTTAAGTATCATTCTATTTATTCTTTTCTTTCATTAATCGACACATATACTTTTCAACAACAATACATTCATTATTGCTCAATTTGTATTTATGCACAATAGGTTGCCGTTGAGGAGCAGCTCACACCAACTGCACACAAAGTTCTTGCCTCAATACTTAGTACACCATCACCAATTACCCTTGAGAAACAAAACAAACAAGGAGCAAAAAGATCCATCAACTTTGATCTCCAAACAAATGAACCACCTGATGCAGACCAAGTAGAAGCAGATCATCCAGAAGGACCAGTCAGTGGAGGTTCGACTAAACGCCAGAAAAAAAAATCCATAGCCAAGCCCTCTAAAATACCCTTTCTTTTGTGTAGACGCTACGTTTTGGAAGACCGATAACATCTTAAGCTCTCATGCATCACCCGTTTTGTCGACACCCAACCTTTTGTGTACATATTTTGTTTAGAAATAGCTATCAACTTTCCTATTAATATTCCCTAAGTTTGGATTCCGGTTCAAACTTAGTAAATATTAATGTTTATATTATGACATATTGGCTATTGTAATTAAGGATAACCATTGCATGAGAAACTTGACTGTACTATTTTGTGCTCAAAATTAATGTAATGATGATAGCTTACTATAAGGTCTTCATACATTTGAATTGTAAATAAATTTTACAATAAATTACCATTTTTTGTTCGTCCGGATTGAAAATAGCAATAAAAAAACTTTTGAAATGAACAGCCATAATGAATAGCCTGTACAATTAATACATAAATACATTAGCTCTACATGAAGAAAAAAAAACAAACAACACGGCCATAAAAGATAATATTATCTTCAAACCTACAACACAAAAAAAGTATATAAAAAATTCTTATAATATTTAATGACCTACCAAAACCCTTAGGCATCGTTTACTTTGCAGGATGGGATAAGACAACTTTATCCTATCCACTTTACACCTCAGCAATCAGTCCCTTGTTTACTTTTGTGGTTGAAATTTTAATAAATGAATCTCATGTTTACTTCAATGGATTAAGTGGGAAGATAAACAGACAAAATACTAACTTACCCTTATGTACAAGATTGATTTCCTCTGTACGGCTTCCCGATAGCCTTCACTCAGCTCCATTCTTTTGAGATGAAAAGCCCTAATTCGCTGTGATTTGAGAGAGACGACAGAGGCCAGCGACGTTGCTCCCGACGAGAAGCCGCGACTACCTGAATTGATCGTAGACGATTTCTCCCGACACAGCATAGGTAAGCACAGGCTTTTCGCTTATTTCATTTTGTTGTGAAATTGAAAAAATCGAGCTTACCTTCCAATTGACGGAGAGCACGAGGGTATGGAGTTTTTTTTTTNGAGGGTATGGAGTTTGTTTTTTTTTTTTCCAATACTTCTTCTATGTGATTTTCACCCTATTATCATTTTCATTCTAATTGTTGAGGGATCTTGTAACCCTAATTACGAGTGGTAGCAGGCTCCACAGCAGGCGTGGTGGACGTGGGTGAAGACGGCAATCGGAGGACGAAAACGGTAGTGAGGAGGATGACGTCATTCTGGAACAGGTGCTTCTATTCTATTATTTCCATTTTACCTATTAGTTGAACAGTGAATTGTTCCAAGAGACTGTATGTTAGAAAAGAATTTTCCGTGGATTGAAGGCATTTAAATTTCGGAATGTTATCTTTGTAATGATTGTGTACCGTGTTACCATCTCTACATGTATGGTGACAATATGAACATATGCAACACTTTAATCAACATCTTCCGTTAGTGTTGGGTCTATGTTCGTGTGTTTTGTTTTTCGGGCCTGTAGTCTTTTGTGTTGGGTTGATGTGTGGTTGGTAAGGTAGGTGTCGTTGGTGTTTTGGGTTTATTTGTCGTACTTTGTAGNGTTAGAGTAAATGATTGTTGGTGCTCCTTTTTGCTGTTATGTGATATTTATTTCTAATCAATTCAGGATCTGTTTCAGTTTTTTTTTTTTATATGTGACTCTTGCTATTTGGATTACTAGACCATTACTATGTTATTCTTTTCTTCAGGCACGCAACATGTCAAATACTTCTCACACGAGTTCAAATAATCGATATAACAGGGCCTTTACCCCGTTTGAGGTTAGGCTGTGTGAACATTTAGAAGAAGCCGATGTGTTGACATCAATGACCCCCGAAAACCCAGCCCGAAGGTTCTTTAAATGTCCTCGCCGGAAGGTAAAGTTTTTATAGTTCACTGGCAAGTTTAATGTGTTTTCAACTACTGGTTTTTAATCCGTACATGAAGTTTTGCCTCTGATTTATTTTGATTGTTCAGAGCCCAATCCGCCTTGTCGCCTATTTGAGTGGATCGATCCCGAGTTGCCGCCGTTCCAAAAGGGTTGTTTCAACAAGCTGAAGGCTGAAAAGGATAGGTTGCAAAAGCAGCTAATGTGCAAAAATGTGATGGAGAAATTGCTATCGGAGAGGTTGGAGTTAAAAGCCACCGAGATCAAAGCACTGGAAGATGCGAAGAGTCGGATGATGACTGATTTGGAGATTGCAGCAACAGAAAAAGTGGAACTACAGTCGAGGCTTCATCACGTTGAACGTGAAGCTCGAGAGTTGGGGAAGAAGGTCACATTCATGAAATGTACCTTTTGGTTCATCGTTTTTGTTGTTTTACTCTTTTGTTTCTTTAAGTAAGGTTGTGTAGAATTAAACATGATGATGTTGGATTGTATTCTATTTTAGTTTTGTAAAACATTATGTTTTTTAAACAACTAAGTTCAATTATTCTGACAGATGGTCATTGCATTCAAGCATTAGTTGGGCAAACATTGCACTATGATTTATATGCCAATTATGTGTTTTCATATGACGTGCTATGACAGGTCATGGTGGCAGGTCTATATGTAGGATGAAGCTTGCTTTTCTTTAAAGCTGAGTTGATTTGACTAATAAAGGACTGAACGACCATGTTCAACATCATATGTAATTTGGCACGCTAAAGAAGATATGTTACATCTTGTAAACTTAAAAACAAATTTTGCTCTTGAACCTATGCGTAAAAGTGACAACTATTAGTGCATCTGAACATACAATAATATAATAATTGTTGTGTTGAATAGCATGCGTAAAGGACTTCTTATGACCATTCACGTTAAATTATTTGGTAATAAAATTCACAGTAAAAATGACATGCTATGACAACACCGGCTACAATAATACAATCCATGTCTACAACATTGTTTCAGCCTTTTTTCAGAGCTGAGCTGATAGGTCCTATCATCTTCTCCAATTATAATAAATAACATGCATTATTGGTCCTGTGGCATTTTATTTCGGCTTTGCATTATTGGTACTGTTGATAGAGCATGCGCACATCACTTGAGAGACCATCAAATGCATTGTCTCGTCATCTTTTTGGTCAGAAAAATCAGATTCGAAGGGACAGAATATGATAAGTCACTATCCATGACTAGAGGTAGCTTTAAGCTCATTATGCAAAGCCGAAATGATTAGACAACACTAACATAAAGACCAAAAATCTTGTCTTACACCCTTCAATGCATGATTGATCTTGGTGCCTGAAATTTTAGCTATTTAAACACCATAATGCATAACATGTATTCCACAACCGTAGAAGGAAGTAGTCAAATATTACTGAACTTTTATTAAAATAGTGCATAGCCCGTGCGATGCACGGGACACATATATTAATTGAGTCATTTCTATAGGGCTTGTACATTTTGGCAAAAAATAATAGGGTTGCATCATCAGTTTTCCACTTCTTTTAATCAGTGATATTTATTTTAGTCATATCGTTGATATATTAATTAATATATCGTTATGCTTACACGTTATACTAATATAAATTTAATTTTACAATATATATTTATTCATCGATATAAAAAAAATTATTCTTATTCTTGTTCACCATTTAATACTCAATTAATATTTTATTATAATATTTGTTGTCATATAATGTCATTATTATTATTTATAAAAGGTTATAATAGTTGTCTACTTCTTCTTAGTTTATGTAATGAAGTTTAAAATAAAATTTTGTGTATAAATGTTTATAAAATACACACACATATTTTTTAAAATTTCTCATAATAATTAAAAAAAATTGATTTAGCAAATTGTCAAATAATAAACCCTTATATAATCAAGAGATTTTTCTAATTTGCATCCTAAGGTTTTATTAATTTTTTTTAACATACTATGCAATATAAATATATATTTTACAATAAATTCATTATGGAAACAAATAAAAATAAAAAATGATAAAATTATCGTGGTTGACAATAATATACAAATAAATCAAATATTGAAACTGTAAAGAATAGTTAATATATTTTAATTTTATTATTTAGCCGTTAATAAATTATTTAATGATGTGATCATTATCTCTTAAATGTAAATTATTTTAGTTTAAAGAAATTATTTGTTTATATAATTAAATAAAGGTTAAAAAATATTGTCGAAAATTATTATTCACCAACTGGATTTCGGCTAATTAGTTAAAGGGAGAATTATTTAACATGTTACGATTGTTTATAAATATTTTAGGATGTAAGTCAACATTTTTGGAAAAAAAAATTAATATTATGGTTAAGACTTAAAATTTGTTTTCATGGTTATGTTGACAAAAATATTATCAACACCAATTATGAAAAATCAAATTATAGTTTATTATAATGAATATCAATAAAATTATTGCATATGATAATAAAATTATTCAAGGAAAGAATCTTTTTGATCATATATGATTTGAAAATGTGTATATATTAAAGCAATTAATGCATATATTTAAAAGTTTCTAAATAAAGTATGCATTAAATGCTCATTGACTTTTTTGCTACTATATTTAGTAAATAGTAATTCTTTTTATATATATATAGATATAGATATAGATATAGATTACAAATTTTCTACTTCATCAACATTGCGATGGCTCATGATTTTGGTTTAGTGCAGACAGACTATCTGTACGACCTAAATTGGACACCAAAGTTTGATGACTTTCTTATCGACCACTTACTTGAAGATAAGCTATGTGGTATCTTTGTTCCTAATGCAGATAATACTGAGTCCATACTTGGTGCTACGCGAGCATTCAATGCGTGGTTCAGCAAGAGTTTCACGATGGAGTACATCGGAATACGAGTTGGAGTTTTGGAGAAACGACATGAAATTTTCACGGCTCTGAAAGACAAGGCTGGTGTTCAATACGACGTCGGGCAGAACAAGTACCATGCTTCAGGCAGCACTTAGGATGAAATGCTAAGGGTGAGTTTTGCCGAAAATAAATGCGTTTTCATTTGTTATACCTCTTCACAAGAGTTGCAATCTAATTTATATTTTATTTTTCCCGTAGTGGAATGACTTTTCCCTGGCGTACATGA